AAGGGAAGTGAGGGAGAACTGGCCGTCTGGGAAGGGGGGGGTGAACAAATTGGCTGGTGGGGAGTGGGACTGACCTGGGCACTTACTGCCTGTCCCACGCAGGGTCCCGGCGACGCACCAATGAGGAGGAGGCTTCCCCTCCTCCTCACACTCAACCAACTGAGGGCTCCCGGCGGCAATCGTGGCCCCGCCTCCCAGCTAGGACTCCCAGCCGCTCCCCCCAGCCATGCCAGGCTTCCATCCAGTGCGCAGCTGGAAAAATCAGAAAATACCGGACATTGCACATGTCCTGTATTTTCTGATTTTTTTTACTGGACAGAGCACGCAAATTCTGGACTGTCCGGTACAATACCGGACACCTGGCAACCCTACCTAGTAGGTTCAATGTTTGCAAGTTCACAGTAGTTTTAAGAAAAGTCATCCAGATTCAAGGAAAACTGCCTCAATATCATACTCAACTCAAATACGAGGTCTGAAAAAATGTAATTAAGGGATTTCTTGTGAATCTCTATTTCCTTTAACTAAGATAAGGCATTCCCCTTTATATATCTACTTCCACATGATGAGAAACTGTTTTTACAGTACCACCCATGGAAGTTTCAATCTCAGATTTGTACAGCAAATTTTGCTGTACAAATTTTACACAAGGATCTGACCCTAATTAGAGTCCTGTTTTCAGATTCTCTCATCCCTGCATGCATCTCTCATTGCCATTAGTTGGTATTCCACCCAAAGTGAAAGAAAAGAACTTCAGAAGATCCACTTCTCACAAATTCGGATCAGAAAAAATTTCCTACAGCTTTGCACATTTATAGAAAAATCACTTGAATTATGCCACAAATACCACCTCAGATTTGTAGATAAGAAGGAATTCATTTCTGTACTGTGCTGATAGGGAAGTTGATTATTAATTATTATTATTATTATTTTATTAATTTCTATCCACTTAGCACCTATTAGCTCTACTGTGCTAAAAAAGAGATAGTCCCTGCTGGCAGAGAAAACAAGATCAGAAAAACAACCTTCCGAAGGTCAATGCAGAGCAGTGGCAGAGATATAAATGGAACCCAAGTCTCCTGCCTGCCAATCCAGTGCCCTACCCACATACTCTGCCTCTCCTTCTGTGCATCTCTGTATAGGGACAATGTCCTATCTGCTGGACAGTCTCCATCTCTGTTACATTTTTCAATGCCAGCTCATCTTCTATTTGGAACACTCATATCAGCAATTTCCTGCAACTGCTCAGTGGCAGAAACACAGGAGAACTTCATGCCTTTCCCCTGCCTTTCTTTTGCTAGGGCTGTTTGAACTGTAAATATAGAGTCCTGATTTTAATCTCACTGACACTAGTGTAAATCAGGAACACCTGCACTGAAGTCATTTGTTGTGACACAGGGCAATGACATTGTAAGTAAGATCTGAATCATGCACAACAATTTTATGATTCTCACTGGAACAACTCAGTAATAGCACTGGTTAATAAAAAAGCCAAGTTACATGCATCTTCTGGGTTTCTCAGTCCTACTTGTGTTCATGAAGTTACTCATATGAGTAAGTGTTTACAGGATTATGGCATTAGACTACAAGCTCTGCAGGTTCCAAATATTTTAGCTAAGTACACCTGGGTCCAAATAATCAAATTTAGAGAAATCTGTCAGTGTTTCTAGATCAGTGTTTCTCAACCGGTGGTAAGAGTACCCTCATGGGTACTCAAGAGAAGTCTTGGGGGTACATCAAGACAACTGAAATTTGGAGAAAACTGAATTTTTGTTTTAAGTTTTATGGCACTTTATTATTTTTGTACTTTTTACATCCAAAAATGTCATTGCCTGTGCGCCTATGATTAAGTTGTTTAAACAAATGTGTTGCAATGGTAGAAAAAAAATGGTGTGTCTGAAAACTGTAGATACTGGGGGTAGTTATAATTTATTTCTTTTTTGAAAAAGGGGTACTTTATATTTTAAAAAAAGGTTTAGAAACACTGATCTAGATCAGGGGTGGACAATAATTTTTGACCGGGACCCCAGACCACTGAAAGGGGTGGAACTTCAAGCAGAAGGAACAGGCCTAGCACTGATTGGTCTGGAGGTGGGGGAGAAGGCAAAATCTTTGTCCCGCCTCCCCCAGAAAGAACCGCCAGCTGTTCTGAACATCTGGCAGTTCCCTCTAGGTAACTGTGCCCCTGGCAGTGGGAGGAGACTTTGTATGCTCCCCCTGCTACCCCCAGGTCAATCAAGGCCTGGGGGAGGGGGAACACATGAAGTCTCTCCCTCCCTGCCCCTACCCTGCAAGGGAGCACTGCACTTAGAGTTAACAGCCAGATGAGCAGGTGGTTGATTTTAAGTGCTGAGCCCCTTGCAGGGTGGAAGGAGACTTCACGTGCTCCCCCCGCCCCCAAGCCCTGATTGACCTGGGAGTGGGGGGAGCGTGCAAAGTCTCCTCCCACCCTTCTCCCCATCCTGCAAGGAGCCTGTGGTGCTTAGAAGTGCTGTGCCCCTTGCAAGGCGGGAGGAGACCTCACACCCTCCCCCACACCCCAGGCTCTCATTGGCCTGATTGCTTGGTGGGAGGCATCTGGCCTGTGGAGGCCCTTTTGTCCACCCCTGATCTAGATGGTGCTTGGTCCTGCCATGCGTGCAGGCATGATGACCTCTTGAGGTCCCTTCCAGTTTTATTATTCTATGATTCTATTAACTAAAACAAAAGTCATTTAATTTGTTACAATATTTTTAATTAATATTTATACCTCTGTAGCTTTTTTAGTTAATCTGGATGGCTTCCTAGAATATTTCCCCAAGATCCAGAGCTAGGAATAAAGTAGATTTATACTAAAAAAAAAAAAAAATCATTCTGATTTTCGTTGGGAATGGAAGGTTCACAAGAATGGTTTCTTATTTACCTCCCAAAAATAGGACCTCCCAGAAGCTGCAGAACGCCAAAGGTTGTCTGGAGGTATCCAAATCCAACCGAATCCAATCCCAGGTTCTTCGCCAAGTACTAAATAAAGCACAGAAAAAGTGAAGTATGTTACCTTTCTGAATGCTCAAGAAGAGCTTAATGTTAGTAAGTACAGGACTGCTAGTGATCATGTGCTTCAGTGCAAAGTAAAGCAATTGCGCTTAGCTGTAGATGCAGTACACAGAGCATAAGGAATAGAGAAGTTATTGGATAAAAATCAAAAGTCTCTGGCCCAGATCATCAGCCAGCACTATGGACCTAGCTCTCTATTTTTACACTTTTGCATGCAGTGTTGTTTTAGCTGTGTCGACCCCAAGACATTAGAGAGACAAGGTGAGCAGGGCCAGCCAACAACATTTTGGCACCTGAGGCGGGGAGCTCAAATGATGCCCCCATACCTCCTTTTCTCCTGCCTGCCTGTTATGTCTCTTGTGCCCTCCTTCCTCCAGCACAGCACAGCACTCCCCCATCTCTGTGCATCTAGAGCAGAGAGAATACATATGCACCAGCAGCAGACACAATTTTCTACACTCTGGGTCCTAGTGGCACCCCTCCCACACACACATTCTGGCACCTGAGGCGGCCGCCTCAGTTCGCCTCATGGTAAGGCCAGCCCTGCTTTATAGGTTAAGTTTCCACTGGTGAGAGAGATGTGCTTTCAAGCTACACAGCACTATTCATTGGGTCTAGGAAAGGTACTCAGTGTCACAGCCAAACACAGGATGGACCAGACAGATTAGCATAAGTAGTTAGCACATATTTTAATGGATCATTCCAAGGGAAGTGGTCATAGAATGACAAGGGCAGGGGTATCAGTTTTTGTAATAAGCCATAAATCCAGTGCCTGTATTAAAACTATGATTTTTTGAGTCTAGCACAGCGTTATAAAGTTAGGCTCCCAGGGCTTTGCAACGTTTCCTTTGAGGATGAGGCTGTTCACCCTAGGCGATAGGATTTTTTTCTTTTGTGTCATTTTTCAGTGTGAGTTCATTGAGAGCACAGTGATAGTTTGGTTTAGGGATGTAGAATCCCGGTTAATCCGTTAACCGGTTAAACCTTTGGTTTAACAGGTTAACCACCTAGGCGGGAGTCGCCCTGCACACAGGGCTGCTGGCAGAAGGAGCCGGCAGCTCCAAGCGCAAGGCAACTGGCTTCTGCTCCCTGTCCCTCCAGCTTGGGAGGGCCAGCTCCCAACCCCCGCAGGGTCGTGTCCAGGTTTGGATTCACCCACACTGTTGTAAAAAGCCATACATTAGGGGCATCCAATGCAATAAATGCTCCAATAACAACTATCTGTAACCCACTAACTCCCATGGCTACAGGGGTGTTATTGGGCCACTCCCCCTTGAATTGTCTCTTAGAATATGTATTAACTACTTCTGCTAAGCAATCTCTTCTATTTGTATTTAGCTGTGACAGGCTGAGCGTGCTGCCCAGACATGAAGAGGAGCTCTGTGTAGCTTGAAAGCTCATCTCACCAACAGAAGTTGGTCCAATCAAAGGCATTCCTTCACCCACTTTGTCTCTTGCTTTTACTTAGTATGTTGAGGCAGACAAGGAAGGTCTTAATCACTCAGCTAATGCTGAAGGGGAGGGTTTTAGATAGCCCTCCCATGCCTTGGAATATGTAGGGCACATCCCTCTGAATATTGCCCAGGAGGCTCTTGTGGTCATGTCACCACCCCACAGGTTTAATCGAGCCAGCTGGGCTACGAGTAAACATCACAAACAAAATGGCATGTGTACTTCCAGTCCCCTCCACAGCCCCAGCATGGGAGGCGCCCTAAAAACCTTGTGCCCGAGGGACAGAGGCTTCAGACTCAGGCTTGTGCTTTGTAATGTGTAGTGTGAACATAACATAATGAAGCTTCTGAAGCACTCACTAACACCTGTGCACAGAGTCGCTGGCACTGTAAATCTGGCACTTTTACTAGCACTAAATGAACTGAATACATGTTGTAAATGAGACAGCCACCTTGCATTGCCACATGGAGTAGCTTGCAACACCTGATACTGTTCATGGCATCAATTTAATCTGCCTAAATATGTTCATATGTAGGAAGTTGCTCAAAAATTACAGCAAATAGTTTTCTTCTTGTAGCCTGGCCTAAATACTACTTGTAGCCAGCCAGCACTTAATATTCCAATGTTATCTTTGGATATGTAAAGGGATATTCAACTCAAAATATTTTGCAGTCTGAAAACTTTTACTGATTACAGCTTGGACCTCCCTGCTCCGGCACCCTCAGGTCCTGAACCAGACAGTTTGCCAGAGAGGTTGATGCTCCCTTGCTGGCCACTGACCCCATTCCTGGGCTCCTCTCTGAGCTGTGGGGCTCCCTGGAGTCTGGGGCCACTGTCAACAGGGCTCCCCAGGGCTGGGGCTTCCCAGCCTCTGCCAGACCCACTGTTCCCCTTCAGTCCAAGACTCCATCCCTCCCCCACTATTTGTTGCTCCCTTTTCTCTGCACCTCGCTGCAGTGCTCCGGTCCCAGACCACTAGGTATCATGGTCCCACTTCCGCCAGCCCCAGAGTGCCTGGTAGTGTGGCAGCAGCACTCCCAGCCCTGGAACACCAACCAGGTGGGCAGTGCAGTCCAAACAGAGGGTGGGCAATGTAGCCCCAGCACCGGACAACCTCAGCCCCAGCTAGCCTGGGCCAGGACAGAATTCCAGAAACTGGAGAGTCAGACTGGGGTGGAGCAAAGGAGGGGCCACACCAGGCTGTTTGGCGAGGCACAGTCTCTCCCAGCCAATGATACCTACCACCCATGCCTCTTGGCCAGTGAAAATACCGCGACAACTTAGACAACAGGGCCGGAGTCAATGTCCCACAAGCACCTTTGCTCTCTCTACATAAGGGCAAAGTGTCCTGCCAAAATCTGTAAACCCTTTTATCACCTTTCAAATCCCTCCTGCAAACTCACCTCTTACATGGTGCCTACAGAAAGCTGCCACCTGGGAGCCACTAGACAAGTGTCATGTTGTGATTACAGCTCCAGCCTGGCTTATTACATGTACGTATGAACCACAAAGCAGTCTATGCTAAGATATTCTATTGCTGTTACCCTATGTTCCCGCTCCAAGCCTGCTTCTTAATTCACCTATTGTGATGAATGGGGGGTATTGTGTTAATATCCTTTCTGAACATTCCAGCCATTCAGATCACATCTTTCTAGCAGTTAACTCTTGAGGCCTAATGGTAACTGCCTTGCCTGAAGGGTTAAATCCCTAGACAGGGGGTCCTAGAGAGACCCCAGGAATAGGGTTACCAGATGTTTTAAAAAAAAATACTGGACACACTTATCTCAGATGGGGGGGGCGAGGGCAAGAGGGGAGCGGTGCTGGCTGGGAGGTAGCTGTTAGTAAAACAAATATTTGTGTGATTCTGAGATGGGAATCTTTTGAGAAAACTAGTCAAATCACTATCATATGCTAGAGTCTGGTACATTTCAGTAACATACCTGACAGTAATAAAACAAAATTACATAATGTATACATATTAAGATAATAGGGTTACCAGATGGCTTTCAAAAAAATACCGGACATACATGATCTCAGAACGGGGACAGGGGAGGACCGGCCAGGAGGGAAGTGGGGCTGGTTGGGAGGGGGTCAGGAGGAGGGGAGCTGGCGTGGAAGAGGGGGGGGAACTGGCCAGTGGGGAGCAGGGCTGGCCAGAAGGAGGTTGGGGGGAGCGGGGCTGACCCAGGCACATGCAAATCCCGGGGTGATTCCATCCTGCCCCGGCCGCGCCCACAACCCCGTTTGCTCTACTGCGTACTTGCATACTGCCGGGCTAGTAGACACACTCACACAGTACGCAACTACGTACTGATACTTATGATAATAATAAAACTTACTTAATTAGAAAATACCGGACATTTATATGTCTGGTATTTGCTCAATTTGTTTCCCGGACAGAAAGCTCAAATATCGGACTGTCCGGTTCAAAACCAGACATCTGGCTACCCTATTCAGGAATGCTAGGGAAGCAGGAAGTGAGGTGGCAGGAGGCCAGGAGTACCCTATCCAGGAATGCTAGGGAAGCAGGAAGTGAGGTGGCAGGAGGCCAGGAGAGCCAACGGAAACAAGAGTGTGGGATTTTGAATTGGAAGCTGTGGCCTCCCTGTTCCTGTTGTGTCACCAGAGCAGAGCCTAGGGGGACATGAAACAAGACCGGGAGCCAGGCATGGAGAATCCAGCGACACCCATGCCTAGGGAAGGATTAAGTATTGAAACTGCAGCTATGTGAGTAGAAAAAGGAATGTTTAGTCAGATGCAATCAGGCTATTTTCTTTATTTTTGGGTTTGTTGGACTTCTCTGTGCTGAGTCATCTAACTAGCTCCCCCCTCCCTCACATTGTAACTTGCCAAACTAGTTCTCAGGGAAGCAATTCTCTGTGCTTTTCATTTTTATTTTTTTTAATTGCTCTGTAACACGTAGCAACCAAGTAAAGATTCACCAGGTGTGATTTTTTTGTTGCTGTTAATAAAAATCACTCTTTCAAGATGATCTGATTCCTGTGTCCTAGAAGGCATGAGGTTTTGTGTGCACATGCCTAACATTTGCAAAGGCAAACTACTAAGAGAAATTACAGTTCTCATGCTCTCTCCAGAGGGAGGGTTAAAGAGCTCAGGGAAGGAAGGAATTCCCAAGTGTGCTTTCCTGGGTTCTCAAAGGAATTTTGCATTTGGGTGGTGGCAGCGATACCAATCCAAGATACTGGAATCTGTGACCTTGCGGAGTTTTTAACAGAAGCCTTTAGCGACAGAGTATTTTTCAAGTCTCTGGCAGGCTTGGAGTGCAAGCGGGGAACAGCCTTGACACTTACCTAGTACAGCTTGTGTTTTCGATTACTAACTCTTTGGGGGCAGGGGCTGTACTTTGTGTTTGCACAGGGCTCAGCACAATGTGGCACATGTCTGGAGGGGGCCTCTAGGCACTACTGCAATATAAATAATAATCATCTGCCTGCTGTGCTTAAGTGGTAATGAAAGCGATGCCAAAGACAAGCAATTTTTTTTAACTTTCATACTTGATGCAACAAGCCTGGTCCAGAGCTATGAACTGCTAAGTCTAGAGGTGCCAGCACTCAGTCTGGCAAGTTCTGGCACATATTAAAGTATGTACTCTCCACCTGCCATGTGAAAAGCTACTGCATTCACTTACATCCAATTGTCTAATCAGATCTAAACTTCCTCCCTTATTTCCTGGTAGAAAATCTCCTTTAAATGTTGTTGAATAACTGAACAGTCTGTGTTGAAAGAAAGTGGTTTGCTCTATTAAAGCAGGCTCAAAGGGTACTCACTGGAATGAGTCCAATCTGCATGAACAAGCAGGTCAGGTCCACAGCTGTGATTAGATAAGTGAGCCGGATCACCTGTTGCCTTTGGATCATATTTTCTGGCTTGTTTTGGTCCTGCAAGACCACTCTCTTGAATTTCAGTTCCTGTTTCTCTTCTCCAGGGCTGGCTCCTTCATTCATGCCGCCCAGGGAATAGCTTACAGCACACTGCCCAGACTGAAATGCAACCTGAAAAGCAACATTCAACTAGAAACTTGAACTCATTTACATGTACGGTGCAAAAGTCATATTTGAAGTTGTACACTTAAGAGCGTGAAAGTTGCTGAGTCACTATGTTTTGTTGAATCTTTTTTTTTTTAATTTAATGTTTACAAATAAAGACACTCGGTGTTAATGGTTAAAGACATTGGAGTGGTTCACTTTTTCATTCTAGATTTAACCACTGGATTAAGACAATTTCGTAGTGTTAAGGAAGAAGGCCATCTTTAGAATCCTGGCAGAGATGCAGTTGATAGGGTTGCCAATTCTGAATGAAGCTATTCCGGGAGATATTTCCTCCTTTCCTTCCCCAGCATGACAAAATGTTATGTTCTTAAAATATCCTATTAAAATCTCTAGGATTGATTTTAGTCACCTGGAGATAGACAGGAGGCTTGGCAATCCTAGTAGTTGAACTCAGTACCAATGGGCTAAGATTACAGAGCACAACAATTGCTTACGTTTTAATTTTTACTGCATCAGCACTTTAGGGGCATGTTGAGTCCCTGCTGTCTATTCAGCTGGCTGGTTTGACTTCTCTAAAAGTGCTGGCTCTTTAAAAAGCAAAAAATGGCCAGCCAAAACAAACATTAGTATTTATTTGTAAAAGCTGAAAATCAAACTTGATGGAGAATCATGCTCAAGCCCTGAGTCTTTGTGCTACTTTTAATGGATCTGGGCAGATATGGGACTGACCCCTGTACTCAGTCACAGACATCCAAGGTAATCTGCAGCTAGACCTAAAGCAGAACTAGACCCAATGGCTCTAAAAGGGAATGTAAAGGGCAACCTGTGATCTTTAGGTAAGATACAGAGCCAACAACTCAGAGCTTTGGCTCCAATGCATTTACTCCACGCTTTTAAGGTTTCAAATGAGTGATCAGCTGCAGGCACTCTCTTCCTGAGTTAGTCACAGCTTTGCCATTCATTGTAGTTAATAGATTCACATATGCCATGTCCACTTGTTATTATTTAATATTTATATATAACCATGTGGTCCAAAGGCCCAGATTTGGGATCAGTGATCCATTCATATTTTAAGGCCAGAAGGGCTGAGTGTGATGTGCTAGACCAGCCTTACTATGGGGTGCTGCCCCCGACTGCAGGAATAAAGGACTGACTGAAGGGGCAAGGCGGAAGTCATATCAATTCAGATGAGGATTTGAAGGACACATGAAGAGAGTGCAAGGCAGCTGATTGTTCCTGACAGTGGTTCAGGTTTTCAAAAGTTTAAGACACACTGATGGAGTCTGACCTTCTACAGAACACCCACCACAGATCCTCAACCAGTGCTCCTGCATCAAGCCGAGATCCCCCGTTGTGCTAAGAGCTGCACAGACAGAACCTGCCACCCCTCACCCCTGAAGTCAATGAAACTACCACGATTACCCACCCAAAGGCTATGTCTACACTGGCGGGTTCTTGCGCCAGAAATATGCAAATGAGGCTAAGCGTAGAATATTGCTGAGCCTCATTTACATATCTAATGAGCCGCCATTTTGCAGAAGAGGCTCTTGCGCCAGAAGAAGCGTCTACACTGCCCCTTCTTGCGCAAGAAAAATCCTCTTGCGCAATGCCGTTATTCCTGTAAATAATCAGTGTAATCATCAGCATAAAATAATCATTCCACAAAATGGCGGCTCATTAGATATGCAAATGCATCAGCGTAAAATAATCATTCCACAAAATGGCGGCTCATTAGATATGCAAATGAGGCTCAGCGATATTCCACACTTAGCCTCATTTGCATATTTCTGGCGCAAGAACCCGCCAATGTAGATATAGCCTAAGTGTTCAAAATTCACAAGAAGCCCACAAGATCGGCTTAAAAAATTATATTTTAAAAACAACAAACTTTTGGCCTCTTGTTTCTGAACCTGTACAGGTCACACTTTGAAACTTTTCTCTGCAATGAAGGCTGGAAACTGACCTCATTTCCCTGAGTCCAGGAGCTGAGGCTCTAAGAAAAATACCAAATTTTGCAAGATTCAAGATAAACAGTGACACTGGCACATCTGTAAAGTGACCTGTGTGCATTTTCAGGAATGGTGCGAGGTTGGACCGGCAGGTCCTTGTATTACAACTTTTAAACTCTGTGGGGGAGGCAGATTATACACTATGGATCAGGGACCATCTTTTTGTTCTGCTTTTGTACAGAGTCTCACACAATGGGATCCTGACTCATGCCAGGGGTTCTCGGCACTACCACAAAACAAATAAATAGGGGAATGTGTGAGGCTTCATGTTACAGAGGGAGGTGGTATTACCCTAGTCAGAGAGTTCACAGCAACACCACATTTTGCCAAATGAGCTGCAGCACGAATAGCTGAAAGCAACACAAGAGATTATTAACTAATCTGATATTGTAAACTAAACTCTGTGCTCAATACAGTCAAACCCCTATGAAACCAGGATCACATTTGTCACTAAAAAAGAGGAATTTACTTACAGGGTGACTTGATTTCGTGGATGATTGGTGCTAAACTTTCAACTCATCTAAGCAAGAAAGAATAGATTCTTCAGCAGCTGAATTTCTTGCAAGAGAGCGCAGCAAACAGAGTAAAACAAAACTTCCTGGTTTAAGTGATGGGACAGGGGACCGTGAACAAATTATAACACTCGGTGTGAAAGTAATGTGAATAGCAAAACTCTGTTGGAGAGGTTTCCAGACAATCAGAAAGCCAGTCCAAATAAAATGTAATTATTTACCGCTTATAGGAAAAACTGCTCACTTGCACTTAAAATTTTTCAGTGAGATTATTGATCAGCATGTTGAAAGTGGAGCTGAAAACAACCTATCTAAAGGCCACCAAAGGAACTGAGGATTTGGCCACGTGCACTCTTACTTTTCCCACACCATACAGCACTGTCAAAAGAAATCTGTATGTCTTCTCCCTGAGTGCACTTTGGATTGACCTGAGCTTTACCGGCAAGAACGGAGATGCCAGTTTTCATGTATAGCCTAGGGATCAACGTATTTAAAGTACAAGACTCTAAAAAGGGTACACCTAAAATTAAACTCTGAGGTCCAAATTTTCAGTATTAAAACCAGCTCATTTTGGATGAGCCAATGAATTACAGAATAGCTGCTCGGTGTGACACGTTCCTCTTTGAAATTACAATGCAAAATGCTTCAAAAGCTACTACTTGTCAGTATGATTTCAGAGTTCCTCTAAGAGGTAGCGTGGACCTGCTGAGCAGGGTTCAGATTTTTGAGAGGTATCAGAATGGCCTGGATTCCACTTTTATCTCCCACATGTTTCTTGATAATTCACCTATTGAGATCATTCCCACTTCTTTGGTGTTAAGCTTCCAGCCCCACAAGGAGGCATGACTTAGCTGTTATCACTCCAGAGAGAGCGAGATCTTAGAGTCACTGTGGATAGTTTTCTGAAAACATCCACCCAATATGCAGCAGTAGTCAAAAAAGCAAACAATGTTAGGAATCATTAAGAAATGGACAGAGAATATCTTATTGCCACGTCTGTATGCAGTATTCAAGGTGGATAAAGCCACATCTTGAATACTGCATACAGACGTGGTCACCTTATCTCAAAAATATATCCTGGCACTGGAAAAAGTTCAGAAAAGGGCAACAAAAATTATTAGGAATATGGAATGGTTGCTGTATGAGGAGAAGTTAATCAGACTGTGACTTTTCAGCTTGGAAAAGAGATGACTAAGGGTATATCTACACTGCAGAGTTTTTCCAGAAAAACCTTCATTTTTCCAGAAAAACTACACATTAACGTCCACACTGCTATTGTGTTCTTTTGACAAAAAGTTGAAAGAACAGAGGAGTTTTTCTAACAGCAGTAAACCTCTTTCTACGAAGAAGCTCTTTTCTGAAAGATCTTTCAGAAAAAGGTGTGTGTGGATGGGAAAGAGGGTTTTTTTTCGAAAGCAGAGGCCTCCAGGAAAAAGCACAGGTGCCCTGATGGCCACTCCATCCATAGTAATTACAGCTTAAATGTGAGATAGTGTCCAATCAATGTGGACGCTATCTTTCGAAAAAGCAGATTGCTTTTTCAATCCAATTTTGCTGTGTGCACGCTCTCTTTCAAAAGAAGTTTTTCCAGAAGATCTCTTCCGGAAAAGCGTCTTCCGACAGAAGCCTGCAGTCTAGACATAGCCGAAGGGGGGATATGATAGCGGTCTATAAAATCATGACTGGTGTGGAGAAAGTAAATAACTTTTCCTTATTTATTTGTTATCATAACACAAGAATCAAGGGTCACCAGATGAAATTAGTAGGTAGCAGGTTTAAAACAAATAAAAGGAAGTATTTCTTCACACAACAGTCAACCTGTGGAACTCTTTGCCAGAGAACGTTGGGAAGCCAGGCGTTTAATAGGGTTCAAATAAGAGCTAGGTACGTTCATGGACAATAGGTCGATAGGAATGGTGTCTCTAGCCTCTGTTTATCAAAAGCTGGGTATAGGAATGGATTGCTTGACCTGTTCTGTTCATTCCCTTTGGGGCACCTGATACTGACCACTGTTGGCAGACAGGACACTGGGCTAGATGGACCTTTGGTCTGACCCAGTATGGCCACTCTTACGTTCTTGTGACTAGATGGTCTGGGCTTTCTTTCCACACAGTTTTAAAAAGGAAGGGAGCATTCTGCCCTGAGCCGCTGTATCTTAGTACTATTACAGCCATCTTTACTAGAACACTGAGGCTGTGTCTACACTGGGCCACTTATTCCGGAAAAGCAGCCGCTTTTCCGGAATAACTTGCCAGCTGTCTACACTGGCCGCTTGCTTTTCCAGAAAAGCAATGACGATCTACTGTAAAATTGTCAGTGTTTTTCCGGAAAAACTATGCTGCTCCCATTTGGGCAAAAGTCCTTTTCCGGAAAAACTGTTCCGGAAAAGGGCCAGTGTAGACAGCACAGTAGTCTTTTCCGCAAAAAAGCCCCGATCGCGAAAATGATGATCGGGGCTTTTTTCCAGAAAAGCGCGTCTACATTGACCACGGACGCTTTTCCGGAAAAAGTGCTTTTCCGGAAAAGCATCCTGCCAATGTAGACGCACTTTTTCCGGAAATACTTATAACGGAAAACTGTTCCGTTTTAAGCATTTCCGGAAAAGGGTGCCAGTGTAGACGTAGCCTGAGGGTACGTCTACACTTGCATCCTATTTTGAAATAGGGATGCAAATGCAGCAATTCAAAATTGCAAATGAAGCCGGGATTTAAATATTGCACGCTTCATTTGCATAATCACCTTATGGCGCTATTTTGAGTTAGCGCTATTTCAAAGTAATAGACATTGTGTAGACGCGGTTATTTCGAGAGAAAACCCTTCTCTCGAAATAACTCTTAAACCACATTGTATGAGGAATAAGGGTTATTTCGAGAGAAGGGTTTTTTCTCGAAATAACCGCATCTACATAGCGTCTGTTTATTCGAAATAGCGCTAACTCTGCAGCTACAGGGAGGGACAAGCATGTCTCTCTCTCTCCAAGAAACAATTCTTCACTTCTGTAAGTAGGGTAAAGTTTAGGTAGTTTCGTTAGGCTTTATTGTTTTAAGGGTTGGGTATGGGATCTGATATCTGGCACTGCTTAAGAGATGTTTGGCTTTTCTTTTTAACTAAGTTCTAGCCCATGGTGTAATTCCTCCATGAGTATATTTTGTTACCTTTCCATCTGATCCTTATGCTTGCAACAGCAATATTGTTATAATAATAAAAGTTTTCTCTTTTCTTTTTATTAACCTGGCATTGGTTACTTGTGTGTCCTGATTTTTATAATAGGGGTGAGATTTCCAACACAATCTTTCCCCTAATCTCGTTATTAATATTTGGGTGGTGGCAGCGGAAGTTTTATTCCCAAAATCTAGGTTTTAAAGATTTTGGGGGCAGTTTTATACCAAAACCTGGTAGATAAGGCTTTGGGGTACACTTGCTGGCCTCCAATTTTGCATTTATCATGCCAGAGTGGGGAAGAAGCCATGACAGGCACAGCCCACTTCTTCAGATGACTCCAGTCTACCATGATACCATCTACATGTTTTGTTAGTCTATAAAGTACTACCAGACCATGTGTTGTTTTTTTCTGCATCTTAAGACAGGTACTCATCTCAGTCACTCACCATGCTTCCAACAGGAGCAGTTCCATTGTGTGTGTCCCTCTCCCTGACCCGTGCTCTACAGAGATGGGGTACAGGGGCAGGGCCTTCTGCACATCCCTCTCTCCCCTCTTCCTCTCCACTCTGCACAGCTAGCAGATGAGTTCTGGGAGCAGCTCTGCAGCAGGATAAAGCAAAATGAGGAGCGGGACAGCTGAACACACATTGCCAGTAGGCACGGATCTGGCCTGTGGGCAGTATCATGCCCACCCCAGAATTTGAGACTGAACCTTCCTGCTTTTACTTATTCCCACTCACCATATTTCATGGTGGCTATACTGCACAGTGGCAGATTCATTTTCCGATTTCAAACCAGCTCTGTGGATCTTTAAAGGTCTGATCTAAAACCCACTGAAATCAATGGAAAGAGTTCCGTGGACTTTGGTTCAGGGCCTAAAGTCTTTTGCTCTGTCTCAGCTCTTATCCTTAGGATGTCACAATAGTACATTTAGTATGTTAGCTTTTAACAATGTAGAACTCAGTCTACCTTGTCACCTGTCTCAGACCACTTACAGTATATAAAACTTAATCTTCAAAAAAATTTATGAGCTGTTAAAAAAAGTGAAAAGTTACTTTTATTTAAAATGTGTCAGTTGTTTTCAATTTAAAGTGGTTTAAATTAACCCATTTTAGTTGTATGGATTCACTTCTTCTACCAATATTATTTTTAAATGACAACCACAACAGCATTTTTTTGTATGCCAGAAACCTGATTTTTTTTAAACTGAAACTTTCAATAACCATTTTTGTAAAAAATCATTTAAACCCCCCTTCCATGTTGGGCCTGAGTTTTTTCGTTGTAATTCCTATTTTGTAAAACTAGATTATTGTTCAACAGTTAACAATAACAAATTTAAAACAAGCCCAAACCACCCAACCCCGCCCCCCAACTAATTCTAAAAAATTTCAATGAGCCCTGGGTTTTATGATGTGCATAGACACATGCTCACATGTACACACAGGTAGGCGCATATGTGCACGCACACACAGAGTACTACAAGCATTTTTTTTTCTTCCATCCCTTTTTCCTTCCGTAAAACCTAACCCCATTTTTGTCTCATGGGGTGGGTTTTATTATATTACCTGACAGTACTTCCATAATCTAGTTACCCTGAATAATCTGACAGCGCTTCCTGAACTATGGTGGCTTGGGAGAAGTCCTTCCTCTTCCCTACCCCCCCACCATTTTTCTTACAGTCTGTGTTATAATGAGTGAGGGACAGGAGGATCAGACTAAATAATCATAATGGTCCCTTCTGGTCTTAAAAATCTATGAAAATAGGTCATTTTTTACCATGTTCAAGAAAGAGGAACCTTTCCTCCACAGTCAACACCTACTATAGTTTCTTTCATCTGAAGAAGTGGGTTGTACCCACAAAAGCTCACGATACACGTTTTGTTAGTCTTTAAAGTGCTGCTAGACTATTTGTTGGTTTTTAAACATTTTTTCCAGTTACAGACTAACTAACTAGGCTACCCCTCTGACGCTATAGTTTCTTTAGTCACTTCCCTTGGTCATTTGATCCAATAGTTAAGTCATTCTAGTCAATACAAATTGCACACGGAAGTTTCATGGATTACAGTTAATTAAATACAAAAGAAATCTTTTTTCCATCTGAATTTTTTGTGGGTGAAGCTTTTGGCCTTGATAAGGAAAATACACCTTTGCTTACTCACGAAATAGCCCTGCTGAAGTCTCTATTTGCAAGATTGCCTTACATTTAATTAACCAATCTAACTTTACATATCCAATTTCCTATATGTTATGTCCCATACATCACTTTTTAAAATGCTACCCATCTGAAATCAGTAGCCCTGCTAATGGGCCACACTGCATAATAACTTGTTTCCAGTGCAAAATTCTTCTTACCAAGCCTAGCCTGAAATGATGGGCAGGCACCATCTAAATCCATTTTTTTGTACAGGCAAACCCCATTTGGCATCTCAAGCCAGCAGAATCTGTGTTATAACCTCAATGTCTTTACGGATGACATATTCAAACATCGAATAATTAACTGTATTAATGTAAAAAAGAAGTGAGTGAGAGAGATTAAATTGGTTAGACAGACAGAGACAAAAAAGCCTCAGCATCTCTCATTCCCCATTCCATATACTGCTGTAACCCTGACCTTGGAACTGCTGTTTTTTGATGGAATTTATGAGCAAAGGGCAAATTTCACCACTGACATCAGACATCCATTACAGTCCTAGTAGCTGGCACCCTCTTGGTTCATCATTAATGTAGCTGTGAGTCAACAGCAGTTTGAGAAAAATATGTTTGGCTGAAAAGTGCAGAATTAGATATACCATTTGACTAAATTCTGTTCTCCCTTGCCAGCTTGTAAACCTCCACAGAAGCCAATTGACTCAGAGGCGTAATCAGTTGACACTTTCAAATGGAAATTGTATTAATTAATTCTTTGATCTTTGTAGTACCTGTTGTAGCACCTTGCTGGAGTTAGTAGACTAGATAACCCTTGATAGCATGTGGTAACTAATTTGTCACATTTAAAAAAAAAAGTTTCAGAGGGGTAACCGACTTAGTCTGTAAGAGGAAAAACTTAAAAAACAACAAATAGTTTAGTAGCACTTTAAAGACCAACAAAACATGTAGATGGTGTCAAGAGCTTTCGTGGGCATTCTTTGAAAAAGCAGGACTAAATTTACTGCTAGAGCAAATGGGAAAGGATTTATTAGTACAGAATAGATAATACACATTACAGAGGGACAGGATGGGTTGAAATCCATTGTGAATAATATGCTGATTGCATTAGCTGCCACTCCTCATTGTATTCATGGATGAAAGCTATCTGAGTTTTACAGTGCTGTGGAACGACTTGTCTGACAACCTGTCTAATATCGCCTCCCTGATTTTTTGTTTACCTGGCAATTGTTAGAAGATCACAGAAGCAGATCATATCTTCAGAACAGGGGTTTTCACAGCTAAATGGCTCTTTATTATTCAGGCAGAATCCCTGCTGATGTCTCTGGTTGTGAGCATCCAGGCTTTTTTAAAAGAGTGTATTAGGGGCATGGGACTCTGTCCACAGCCAAGCTACTGCTTAGAAATAAAATGTTAGCTTTAAAGGGGTTAGGGACAGTTTATTTATATTTTTAAATAAATTAATGGCAAGGATTCTATAAACAGTCTCCTCAGTTCAACAGTAGACATCCATTTTTACTACGTAGTTTAAATATCCATTTAATATATATAGGAACTCTTCAGCCTTTCCTCTAGATGGTTGGGCAGGCTGGTTGAAATCCAGCCCCTCCACAGAGATCCAGAACAAGGCTGAAGGACCACTAACCACAGGGACTATCACATGGCATGTGAAAGTGGCTTAAAGCAGCTTCCCCTTAGTTTAGGCAGTCCTGCCCTGCATGGCTGAACACCATTTGGGCCTCTGGATCAGCCCAGAATTCGAAAGGGTCAGAAGTCCAGTGTCATTGGACTCACAGAGCATATGCCAGCAAGCCTTATGTTATATGTTACGATAAATCTTATGTTATGGACTCTGATTTTCCAAAGGGATCCTCAAGCGTGGACCCTTACTCCCAGCAACTTCAAAACAGTAGAAGCTGTCCCTGGGAGATCACTGGAGTTGGGGCACAAAGACTTTCCACACTACTTTTCCAGCGTGGCTTTCTCAGGCCTGTTTGCACTAAGAGGAGGAGATGGTGCAATAGTAATGCCTGGGTTACACAGCGTCAATTACCTGCTCTGCCACGGATTTCATCATTGTGCCAGTTCCTTAGTGTATAGAATGAAAACAATAGCACTTTTCTACTTGTCAGGTGATGTGAGGATAAATATGGGTTACATTCTGAGGCACTCAAGTACTAGTGCACTATGCGCCATATAAGAATCTAAGCCCTGGGTACACTAGGACTTGATTTCGAAATAATCCCCCTTAGGTCGAATTTATAAGCAGAGCCTCCACATTACCAAGCCCATTTTTTCAAAATAACAGGCAACTTAATTCAAAATCTGTATTCCTGCTTTTCATCAGGAGTAACACTACTTAAAAAATAGCTATTTTGAAATAACAGCTGCGTGGGCACTCCGGGTGCTGCTATTTCAAAATAACTACTCCCCAGAGTAATTCGAACTAATTAATCCCCGGCACTTCCTGGGATTCTAAATCCAAGGTAAGCACATCCACATTAATGGAGCCTGCCTCGGACTAATTTTGAGGCTTCCCTATAGTATGGACAGGCTAGTTCAATTTTGTTAAATCTGGAGTTATTAAGTTGAATTTGCTAATTGTGAAATAGTTTCCTAGTGTAGACATGGCCTAAGATACATTTCACAGTCAGGGAGCTATTATATTAGTATCAACAGCAAGGAGTCTGGTGGCACTTTAAAGACTAATACATTTATTAGGTTCAGAGAGGTAGCCAAGTTAGTCTGTAACTGGAAAAACTTAAAAAACAACAAATAGTCTAGCAGCACCTTAAAGACTAACAAAACATGTAGATGGTATCATGAGCTTCCGTGGGTACAAACCACTTCTTCATCAGTGGGCTGTACCCGCGAAAGCTCATGATACCAAATTTATTAGGGTTATAATTAGAGCATAAGCTTTTGTGAGCTACAACTCACTTCCACAGATGCTTTAAACATTGTCAGATCTAAAGTTTACATGTAAAAAGATTTAAAAAACCCTCAATTATATTGTTACTTTTCTTCAAGGTTCTACCTTCTTAAATCCCTTGTGATAGCACCCAGGAAGGGACATGAGGGAGAAATAGCCTCAAACAAACTCAAAGCTTATTGGTAATGCTAAACTGCTTTAATGATGTTAAACTATTAAAGAAGGAATTTGACCCTGGGTCCTTCAAAGCCAGGGGCTGTCGCCTTGTCTGATTTGCATCCTAAGAATAGCAGCAGAAAGGAAATGGTCCTCTGAGGCCTTAGACTACAGACAACTTCCTCATCAAGAAACATTCTCCTAATAAGCATCCAAACAAGAAAGCTACACCCGCAAGCTTGTTACTGAACAATTTAAATTATCCTCCCATCTCATTTGCAAACTGGTGAAAGATTTATATAGTTAAGCAAACAAAAGGGTATATGGTATGATATTGCCAGAATTATGTTT